TTTGATAGTTAGTGGACTTAATTGACTTGAAAAAAAGTACATGGACTCAATTGACTTTTTGGTAAAAGTACGTGGACCTATTTGACACTTTTCTCTTGTTTTATATAGTAAAGCTGAGTATTGAAACAATGATGTGTCACTCTATGATTGGCTAACAGATATAATAATTAACATCACTTTTATAACATTTAATTAATTTAACAATTGTTTAGGAAAACGTGCTAACTTATAATGGAGTAGTTGCGAATTCTTCTCCTTAACATCATTTAAGATGTAAGTCACATGTAACTAATTGATAGTTCTAGAAACACTACAAATAATCCGTCAGGGAAAAAGCTTACTAATTGTAGGACTCTTCTCCATAACATTTAATTAGTTGACAATTCTAGATAAGTACTACAAATACCTTCTAGATGATTTTATAACAATATTATGAATATTATGGGACCCCACCGTAGGTGGGAGCCTTTGCGGCACTGGGGTAAATGAAAATGATATATTATGAATATTATGGGGCTCGATTAAACAACGTGAGAAGTCTAATACTACATATTTAGTAAGAATATAAATTAATATATGTCAAATATTTTGTGGTTCAATGATATTGCTGTAACACTCCCAAGGAGGAGGTCACAAGTTTGAAACTCATCTCAGTCAAGGACTTGGCATTTAAGACGTTTTTACCTGGACTGGCCTGGTCTGGTCTGGTCTGATTTCATTGTATTTTTATAACTACCCAAGTTTGGTCTGGTCTGGTTTGTTCTGGTCTAGGTCAAATTACAGTCCAAGTAAAAACATCTTTAACATTCAAGTATTGAAGTCCAGTCACAAAAAAAAATGTTTTAAACGATGTTTCAGTCAATTAGACGAAAAATAGCTTAAATAGTCCTTTTCGAAAATTCCAACTAATTAAGTAATAAAACTAACTTTAACCCTACCTATTTTGATACAAAATATGCTCTAGATTTATTTGATAAAAATATAACTAATAATACTAAAAACTGTAAAAGCGGAGCTACAAAATGAGCTCTAGATATATTATACATATTATGATGCACTTTTGCCATTTAGTCATTTTTTTGCATCTTAAATATTGCAATATGTACATGTATTCCTTTTTATATTAAGGTGCATGTATATATTGAAAACATATAGATTATTCAATGTAGGAATTCACTGTAATTGAAGACGATTGCTTTCATTGTTAACCGAGCAAAATTCAAAGAATTTGTGAGAACTTGAACGGCCATAAAATTCAATAAATATTTAAAAAAAAATAGAACTTAACATTAAAAATAATAAAATGGTTGTTATACGCTTGACCTTCTTTAACTCACTTTTGATCTTTTTTGTGGATAAGAAAATGATTTACTTTTTCTCCTTTTATACTTCCTCCGTTTTTATACAAGCATGTCAATTCATTTTTACATTTGTCGATGCATAACTTTAATTATTAATATATGTAACTTTTTATTAGTAAAAAAAACATAAGATTTTGAAAATTTAAAATGATACAAATTTAACAATGTTTTTATAAAAAAAATTATTAACACATTAATAAATAAAACATCATCAAATTAAGTAGATTAGTAGAACATGTGAATAATATAACATTAAATATAATGCGGTACTTATTTAAGAACAGATGATGTATATAGTAGGATTCTCAACTTCTACCGGTATTTCTTAAAAAAAACTGTCCAAATTTACTACTCCGTAATTCAATACATATAATAACACCACCGGGGCATTGCCCCGGGTGTTACACTAGTTAGTGTATTATTACTCCCATTAAGATAAAAATTAATCATTAGATATTTATTCCATCAAATAACATCCACCACATGTCTTAGTATTATTAGATATATATAATTATATATTAGATATATATTCCATATGAGCTATTCCTTTAAAAAATTAAAATTGAAAAAGTGATCCTCGGAGTATCCATTATTTGTAAGTCATTCCCAAAAATATACTATCTCCGTCCCGTTTAAAGATTCCTATGAAAATTTGGCACGATTATTTTGACGATAATTAAATATGCTAATTCGAATATATTTTGAGAAATAATCTTGATGAGTATATATTATATTGGGTTATTGGTGAAAACTGTGATGCTGTAATATGTAAATATATTATTTTTAATCATTGATGATTAAATGGTTATTTAATAGTGTTAATTGTTTCATAAAATAGATTGGAGAATTTTTAAGTGAAACGTCCAAAAATGAAAGTGAGAACCTTTTGAATGAGACAAATTGAATACTTGGTTCCCCAGTTGTTCCCCAGTTGTTCCCATCCTCTCAACTCTCAAGTGGGGTGAATTCGAAGATGTTGCCAAAGTGCAAAATTACACATAATAAAAGCATCAAACAAATGGTATGAAAAGGTGTATGTTCAACTTCGGATTAATGGGTCAAATAACACACACGATTGGTTTTTTCATATGTTTGAACTGGGTGTTTACTTTGTACAACATCATGCTCTCAAAGTCAAAATTCCTTCTTCTGAGAATTTACTAACTCACACTTTGTTAAATTTTTAATTTAGTTTGAGAGGATGAACAGAGGCATAATCATGACAAATTGAATTCTGATGTGGAGTCTTACATTCCGGTTCTCAAGACTCCTTTATCTATGAAAAAGCGGTCTCATATGTTTTCATGCTCTCTGTTTTTATGATCTTCAAAGGGAAATATGTTCAACTTGTTTTTCTTAATTATAGTGTTTTACGTGTTGATGGCCTCGATGGTGAGTTTGACTATGACATTTTTGACGATCATAATATGGTGTTTGAAGTTCATTTCGAAATGCCAAATATGAAGGAGTGCAGTTGTAAATTTTTTGAACCAGTTACTTTTATTTGTCGTTACATCTTTCTTGTTTTAAAAGTCGAAAAGTGCCAAACCATTTTGTTAATACTCGTTGGTGTAATTAAGAAGGGTTTAATCAAACCATTGTCTGAAATTTCTGATTCAGTATTTCAGCAAATGTCACATTGGAGGAGAATAAGATGTGTGTGAACTCTGTATGGTCTGATATATATATGAGAAAATTACCTATATAGGACTAAACTAAATAAATTGTGCACAAATAGGACCGCAGGTCAAATTTATGGTTAGTAGGACTAAAAAATGGTGTCATGACAGAAATACCCTTAATGATGCAATCCCCTGGCTCGATGCAATTCTTTGGCTCGATGCAATTCGCGTTTCAAATTAATACGGCGTAACTGCCCCAATGCCTCCTCATTTTCGCGCCTAAAGTCATCGATGCAGAGACGCAGAAGCAAAGAGAGCATGAGAACGACTTAAGAACTAAGAATTCTCTCTGACTTAGAGAACAATCAGAGAAGAAGTAAAAGCAAAATTCAGACCTAAGTGTGAGAACGGACGAAGAAGAAGACAGTCATGGCTGATTCCGACTTTGAGTCAACCGGCGAAAAAGTTAAAATCAGACGAGATTTGGTACGAGTTTATAAACTTATTGCCAATTTTATTTTATTTTAATTGTCGCATTGTTTATCAACTAGCATGCATTTGCGTTTTGCAATATTTGAACTGACGAAGTCATTTTTGTGCTAACAATCGATGTTAATTTGAATTTGTTTACGGATTTGGTATTTAACATACACGTATATGGTTTTTTTAATATTTGAACTTAACATAGGCATTTGTGTGCTGCTAATTGTTGTTAATGCCATATGTAGTTGAATTTGTTTACAGATTTCGTGTCTATCATAAAAGTATATGTGTTTTGCAATATTTGAACTCACGAAAGCCATTTTAGTGCTATTAATTGCATTTTTGTCTTACGAATCGCTGTTAATGCCATAGTTATTTGAATTTGTTTACAAATTTGGTGTGTAATATTCACGTATATATTTTTTTTCAATATTTGAACTCAACATAGGCATTTGTGTGCTGCTAATTGCTGTTAATGTCATATTTAGTTGAATTTGTTTACAGATTTCGTGTCTATCATAAAAGTATATGCGTTTTGCAATATTTGAACTCACAAAAGCCATTTTTGTACTATTAATTGCATTTGTGTCTTACGAATTGCTGTTAATGCCATATTTATTTGAATTTGTTTACGGATTTGCTGTGTAACATACACTGATATTTTAGTTAGAATATTTGAACTCATGAAAGGCACCTTTGTGCTATTTATTGCATTTTATGCTAGTAATTGTTGTTAATGCCAAATTTATTTCACTTTGTTTATTGAATTGGGGTCTAAGGTACATGGTTATGTTTATGGAATGAGGAAGTCATGCAAGTCTTATTCTTGGAACTGAAATTGCTAAATAAGAGATTGTATGTGTGTGCTTATGAGTTTAGGAATTTAGTAATTCAGTTTATTAAGTGTAGTGAAGGATTATATTACAAAAACAGTTTGTTATTGAATGCCATCTTATATGCACTATAATGACATTTAGGTGTCATAGTAAAACATGTAAAATGAGAAGGTTATTGACATGTTAAAATATAAGTTGTATAACATATTAAAGTTCTTAAAGTTAATTACTGCCATGTTAAAATATAAGTTGTATAACATATTAAAGCAATTTGTTAGTGTAGAAGTAGTTATTAAGTCAAAATGGCATTAGTACAGATCATACTTGCGCTTGTGAGAATCTGTCCAAAAGTTCTTAATGGTAATAGCATGGAAATGAAATAATTTAAGAAATGTTTAATTGTGTGTAATTATTATTCCAGACCATCACAAGGACATGTCATAGTGGAATCCTTCAAAAGCTACGGACGCTGCGTGTGAATTGCTATTCGAATTTGACTGAGATTGCTAAACGCATAAAGAGCAAACTCAACAGAGAAGAATTAGTACAATTCAAAGGGACAGTTTTTGGATGGATCTTAGATATTGAACAAATGCCAAGAATAAGTAGACAGTTAAGTATATGCCTTTTAGGAAACTACATAGAGGAGTTCAATGGCATATCTGAAAAGACTAAAATCAGATTTTACATAGGAAATAGTGTGATTGGCTTCACGAAGGAGGATTTGGCACTAGTGACAGGATTGAAGATAGGGGGAGAATTGCCCAATATTCTTGAGGTACCAGGTGGGGACTTGTGCCGAAGATACTTTGGTAGTAAAAAAATAATAGTTATACAAGATATTATTCAAGCAATGGAGGAGTACAATTCTAAGTATCCTGGCACAGAGAAAGAAGATGGCACTAAATTGGCATTGTTGTATGTCATAACAAATGGTTTCCTAGGTAATCAGTACTCACATCGTATCCCTAGAAAATATATCAACTTAGCAGAAGATGTTGATGCTTTCAATTCTTACCCCTGGGGAGAGGATGTCTGGACTGACCTTGTGACAAATATGAAAAACAGTGCCCAAGCATTGAAGATATGTACAGGAAAAAGGGTTGCTTTCCCAGGTTGTATGCTTGCAATACAAATTTGGGCTTTTGAAACTTTTCCAAGTTTGGCTAGTGCAGGATTGTGCAATAAAATTGAAGGAAAAGAAGAACAAATACCACGGACTTTGAGATGGTCTTTTCACAAAAAACCGTCAATAGAAAAGTTCTGTGAGCTCATCTTCAACAATACTGAGGTATATTCAATTTTGTATATAGATAGATACATATGTAATGTATATATATTATATTAATTTAAACTTCAAATGTAATTTTGTTTTTGGCAGTTTGAGTGGACAAGAATGGATCCAAGTCAAGATGAGATTAAATGCATTGAAGGGCTTCAGGGAATAGAAGGCAATGAAGCATTCCAGGACTTAAGAATTGATGCAGACAGAGCACTACATAAGAAGAAGAAGAAAAAGGATGCACAAAAACAAAAAGGAAATGAGAAAGAAACTGAAACAGTGCTAGATGGCAGAGGCAGCTGAAAAAGTGCAAGGAGTAACAAGAATGAAAGCAAAAACGAGAAAGGAGAGTGTAGCGGGTCCAAAGACATTGAACAGATGGCCAGGATACTGGGAGAGCTAAAAAAAAAAAGCAAAACAAACAGGATGCAGAGTTTAAGAAGCAAGGTTCAGTTTTAAAGAAGATTTTATCTCTGATAAAGAAAATGCCAAAGAAAAAACAAAAGAAGAAATCATGTTCCATTGTGGTGAGTGACCAGAAATCATCTTTTAATAAAGAAATTGAACTTACATGTATAAAATGCATCTAATGTTTGTTGTCGGAGAACCAGAAAGAGGATTTGGAGATGGAAGAGACTGCAGAAGAGGTAGTAGAAGAGACTAATGGCAGAAGAAGCCATGAGAAGGAAGCAGATGTGGAAATAAATGATGTTGAGGTAATTATGAATGATTTTAATTTCAAATGTATTTTATTCTTTCATTATTGTGATACAATGGTAATTTTTTTTAGGATAATGAGATGAGTGATAAGCAAAGCAGCATGGATGGCAATGCGAATGAGAATGGAGCAGCTTATGTTGAACAAAATTTCAATGTTATAGGAGTAAAAGTGTTAATTTGAAAAATTGGCATTTATAGACATCTTAAATGACATTAAGTACAACATTTGGTATTAAATGTATAATATGAATATAATGTTGTTTGTAGGAGAAACAGAAAGATGATGAAGAAGTTAAGAATAGTGATAAAACTGCAGAAAAGCAAGTACATGACCTGCAAAGAAACGATGTTGTGGTAATAATAAATCATTTAATTTCAAATTTATTTTGTTATATAACTTATGATTGTTACATGTTTGTTTACTGTAGGACTGCTTAAGCATGTGGGCCATCGAGGGTAAAAGTTGGTACGAGGCTGCATCTGAGCCAAACTGCTTTTCCTTAGCAAGTTTTTGCGCTTTCCAAGCTTTCTTATACGACATTGAAATTCCAAATTGCAAAGCCACGTCATTCCTTAACTGTTTCGGAGTATATGGTGTTTCTGAGGCATCAAGATATTTGTACGCAACCATATCTGCAATGATATCTGCTGTAGCTTGCCTGTGGTTACCTTGTCTGTAATCGACTAAACAAGTATGTGTAGGACGAAACCTGGAATGCAGCACACAGAATATTGCCATCACACAATGTCACAATCATGGGAATTGAACTGTAATTATGGCAATAAAGTACAAACATAATAAATCAATGTAGTAAATTGTGTGAATACCTTCTTATCTGAAACATATTGACTCGAGTTAATCTAACTGCGCGCACGGTCCATTTGCATCTTTCATCCTTACAAATGACATGAAGGCTTTCTTTGTTTGATGTAAGGGTTCTATATTGAAAATTGTTATTGATTGCATACATTTTCAAATGGTGGATAAGAGCCTTCTTGTCTTTATAGATGGCAAGAGGAATCAGACAAGTAGGATGATGATGTGTAATAACCTCAGCATTATGGTGAAGGGTAAAACTTTTAGAGGAAGACGATTTAGAACTAACAGAAGAAGAGATAGCAATTGAGGTGTCTGCAACACCAGAAAAATCAGATGATGAAGTATCATCATGTGGTTCAACGTTGTGAACAATCTCATGATGAGAAACATCAACATGTGATTCAGTACTAGATTCAGGCAACAAAGAAGATAGAGTTGAATTACTAGAATGAGGAATTGAGTTGTGAAGTAGTGAGGAAGGTTCAACATCAACAACTTCATTACAAACAAACTGAATGCATAGAGGAAACTTCTCAAAATCAGTTTGAAGACCTTTAAGATGAAGATAAAATTTGAATGTCTGTTCATCATGAATACAAACTGGCGGGGGACATCCATCAACAACATAAGAAACTATGAAAGAATGGTTTGGTTTGTAGAGATTTAAGATTTCACTCATACTTTGAATAAAAGAAACATATGTCGCATCTGCACGAATTTGAATACCACACGTCTCCCTATGAGTGAAAGTACAATTACTCAACCATATACCATCCAGTTTGACCATAATCAACAAAACAGTATCCATTTTGAAGGTATGATTGGCTAAAAAAAGAAAAACAAAGTGTTATGCAAAGCATGACAAAACATATTTAAATCAGAATCAGAGAGAAAGACTATAAAATAAAAAGGAAAAAATGTAAGCATGTACTTAACAGTAAATGATGCAAAGTCAGTTGAAGAAATAGAACACAACAGATGGCATTAACAGAAAAGAGGATAACAATAATTACTAACAGGATACATGTCAAACAATAGTGAAACTGTCACTACAAATTGAAAGACTAAATCATGATGAGTAGAATGGAATTACGAAATATTAGTTGAAGTAGAGTCCATAAATAGAGAAATATGAATAACAAGACATAAATTGCAGAGATTATCTATAATGAATTAACTTAATTAACAATAACAACTATAATGTTGAAGCAAGTTCACAAAAACCAGAGTACTACAGCAGATAATTGATGAAGAACATACTGAAAAGCAACGAAATCAATACGTATACTTAAGTACCTAATGAACAGAAATCTAAGTCCACAAAACAATTTAGCCATAGTACAGAACTATAAACAAAGTAACGATCAAGTAGAAGCATAGATGAGATCAAGGATGGAGTCAAACAGGAATTTAATTTGGAGTTTGTGTTCTGAAATAGCTAAATCAAAGTAACGAAAATATGCAAAACAATTCAGAAAACATGCAGACGTAAATTCTTCGAGATTTGAAACGGAGTATTGAAAGCTAGTAGAAATTAAGAGTAACGTACTACGGAGCTTCAAATTCAATAGACGATTCTCCCAATTGGAACGAAACAATAGATCATGTTTGATATGGTGTAGCTGCTGAACGACGATCACATGTACAGAAGCTTCTCAGAACTACGAACTTACAGAGCAAGGAAGAGACGGTGCACCTAAGGGGAATTAATTTGGTGTTGAATGAGGCGCGCGTATAAACAGGAGTAGTTTAGGAATAAAAAACGGCGACTCAGCAAAGTACTCCTATTTAGGTTAATATTTAAACAGTACTCCTATATTAGAACTTTCCGATTAATTTACTCCTATCTAAGTCAAATACTTTATATATATATATATATATGTTAGGTCCCTGTTTTCTAGTCTATAATGTATATGTATGGAAGATAGATCTGTGTATGAAGCTTTCCATTGATGTGAAGGTTTTACAGAATGATATGAATGTTTCAGCGTAAAAACCTTACACAGAAATAGGCTCTGCGGCACTAGGAATGTATTGAAAAACTTAACCTAGCCTTTCCCTTAAGGCATATATATAGCCTGACGGGAAAGGTAGGTTTTACAATCATTTGGGCTCCTTTTCCTAGGAGGCCCATACCTAAAAAGGTATAAAACCTTTATTACAAAATTGCCTTAAAAGGCCTATTCATTATTCTAGCTAACTATAAACTAGCAAAGTAACATTGATCACAATTACAATGAAAATATCTCTAACAATATATATATATATATATATATATATAGAGAGAGAGAGAGAGAGAGAGAGAGAGAGTAGTCTTCCTGTCAGGACCATGCGAAAACGGACCTCCATACGCACCTCGACGTTTGGGCCTCTTCCCGGTGGAATTTTTTGATGAAATATTTTGAGCATATTTTTCATCAAGTCTAGTTTATTCATACCAAATTTCAGCTAACAATTCCATCAGGAAGGCAGTCAAATGATTTTTGGAAGTTAACTGCGCACTTTATATACATATAAAATGCAGTTAACTTCAAAAAATCATTTGACTACCTTTCTGATGGAATTTTTAGCTGCAATTTGGTATGGATAAACTAGACTTGATGAAAAACATGCTAAAAAAGTTTCATCAAAAAATTTCACCGGGAAGGGGTCCAAACGCTGAGGTCTGTACGGAGGTCCGTTTTTAGAGGTCCTGACATGAACTTTTATATATATATATATATATATATAGGGGAAAGATCAAGTACAAAGTGTTCTTATTGTGAAAATATTTGTACGATGCACCTTGACGTTATTTGCATTGCATATTGAGGTTCAAAGTATTGCACATTATAAAGTCATAAAAATAACAGTTGCACATTAAGGTGCAACGAGTTGCACCCTAAAAAGTTGGGCTTTATTACAAAAATGTCACCTTGCCTTTATGTCCTTTGGATCAACTCATCGAACGGTCAAGATGAGTTTGTACTTTGTAAATTAAGAAGGCTTTGTATTTGATCTCTATTCTATATATATATATATATATATATAAATAATCTAAATAATCTAAATAATATATAAATAATATAATAAAAACTTATAAGCACCGATGATGGTTAGGACATTTTAGGAATGATAAAAATGTTGGTGTAACATTAAAGCAATCTACACTTGTACAATTTGATTTAGTAAGTGCACCATTCATTCGTCTCTATGTTTCCTCCTTAACTCCGTTATAACCAAACCGTTTGATTCCCAACATTCTTTATATGGCTTTGGCATTTTAATTTTTTTTACACGTCTCCATAGACTGCATTTATTCAAACATTTCTATCTGTAGCTTAGAAATTTCATTCAGTATAATAAGCATCGTATCTTGCATATTTTAACCAACATGACTGAAATACGGAGTATCTCATTTAGGATCAGTGAAGAAGCCATTGATGGATGGCATGATCTGGGGAGACTTGTTACGAACGAACTTTTGACTGCGTGTTCTGCATATTTCTCTCCTGCGAAATTGTCCAGCACGCCAGCAACCAGCTTTTCCTTGGCATTTTAATTATTCTATGTGATTGGTTTGATTTTCATTCAATCTTTTCATTTATTTTTTCATTCTAATGTTTTCCTCTACATTACTACATACATCACTTATGTGTTATGTAGAAGATAAAAATTCAACTTTATGCAAATTTATTATTACTATTAGTACTATTACTATAATCAATATTATTATAATTAATATTTTTATTGTGAACAAAACTCAACCGCTGTTCTCTTTGGATGTTTTTAATTGGACTGTAATTTGTTGATCTGGTCTGGTCTGTTTAAGTTCGGTCTGATCTGAACTGGTTTCGTCTGGTCTGGTTAATATTTGGTCTCTGTGTATGTTATAAGTACGAAAGTCAAGTCTGGTCTGGGCTGTTTAATTCTGGTTGGTCTGTTTGAGTCTGGTCTGGTCTAGGACTGAAAACCGTCCAAGGAAAAACATCCTTTGTGTGCAAGGATTTATTAGGGTGTTTTAACTTGGACAATTTTCAATTTCAAACCAAATCAGACTTGGATAGTTATAAAATACACAGAGACCATACGTATATCAGACCAGACCAGTACAGGCAAGACCAGATTAGACCAGACACCAGACTAGAAAACTTCAATTTAAGTAAAAACCTTAGTTGCATCTCTTTGATAGAAGCTTTTCTATTCATTTTATTTTTATTGCTTATTGTTTATTTTTATTTTACTTAAATCATATCAGATCTTAAAATTTTAGATTAGGTTGGATTAATAAAATTAAGATCAGAAAAGTTCGGTCATGATTCATTGCCTTTATCATCATCAACATCACCACCATCATCATCATCACCATCACCATGGATCATCATCATCAATATTATTTTTACTATTATTATTATTCTTATTATTATTTTATTATCATTATAATAATAATAATTATTATTATTATTATTAGTGTTAATAATAATAATATTTTATTTTTTTGTTCTTTCTTAATAGCATCATCATCATATCATATTACTATTATCAATATTTTATGGTTATTATTATTAATATTTATTATTGTTGTTGTTCTTGTTATTTGTATGTTATCTTAAAATCTTATAATAATCAATGGAGGTTTGGGCATTTTGGGGACAAAAAAATGTTGGTGTATAATCATCAAGCTTATTGGGGTTGTACAATGTGTTTTAAGGCTTGTGCTCTATTAAAGGAATTTAGTTCTCCGTTTTATTTCCGTTAGCCTCCGTTTTATTGCTTCTGCGTCCGTTTATCTTGCTTCAGATTCAAATGACCTCCCAGCTTCAAAGTTCAAACAATCAAACGTACCTAATTTATGACGGAAGTTCACGCCATCTATCATTTCTATCTGCCTCTTGTTTTACCTCCGCCGTGTCTACTCACCCAAAAAAAAAGTATCGGCCTCTTCATTTATCTCGGAGATTCATCTATGCATACTCCACAATATGATGGAGGCATTCCTAATAAATGAGATCCGACGAACAACTCAAAAACTATTCCGATAACAAGTTAGGTTTTCTCCATCTTTTTTGCAGCGTCATTTTTCCAGTATGAGTTGATGTAGATCACTTCTTGCTCCGCTTTAATGTTTATTTCACTCTAATGCGTTTTTTCTTAATACGTAGAAAAGCATAACCAATTTCCGTAGAATACAATGATTGCACACTTGTGCTCTTGGGTCGGTT